AAAACTGCCCAAAAAATTACTAATATTAATTAATAAATTATTTGATCAGTTATTAACTTGTATTTAATCGTATTTTTCTTTGAAAGTTTGAAGTTATACGAAAAAATTTTGTGCTTTGTTCGTTTCCGGGCAGGCTGGCTACCATCGATATCTTTGGTTTTGTCTCACCCTACTTAAAACGCTGACCAACCGATGGTGAAATTTCGTCAGACTTGGATGATCGGAAGGCAAAGAAATCCTATTTGTTATTCGTTTGATCATTTTGGCCAGCCTATCATCACTGTTTAGATCGTTATCGTCTTGCCGCACCCTGTTTATATCGTGACAAACCATTGAAGATGACCAAATGTTGAAATGTGTCCGAAGAACACCGAAAGAACCAAATTACATGTTTATCACCCCTGTTTGATTATGGTCAGTCTATCCTCGCTGTTTAGGTCATTCGAGTCTTGCCTCACCCTGCTTATGACCCTGATGGATAGGTGAAGACAGCGAAATGCCGAAACGAATCTCATAAAAACAATATCAGGATAGGCACAGTATTCAACCAAACCTATCACCCCTGTTTGATTATGGTCAGTCTATCCTCGCTGTTTAGGTCATTCGAGTCTTGCCTCACCCTGCTTATGACCCTGATGGATAGGTGAAGACAGCGAAATGCCGAAACGAATCTCATAAAAACAATATCAGGATAGGCACAGTATTCAACCAAACCTATCACCCCACAGACATCAAGAAAAATATGTAATACATGTTTTATGTTTTGATAATTTTTGTTTGATGTAGTAACCCATTTTTGTGAACCTACGTTTTACCTAAAACGTGAAATATTACCACTAGGAACATTCTAAACTATTAGATTTTATTTTATAGTTTTTATGTGTTTGGTCAGGGTATAAGGAGGTCGAGGCAGGTCTACAAACTATAAATTCAAATCATGCTAGATTACAATAAAACATCACAATTTTTACATATTACTTAAATTTTGATCTAGTTCAAATAACGTTACAAACAATGTAGAACAATATTCTTGATTTTGTAGAGTGAGGTCACTCACTCCCATAAGGGCATTACGGTTTAATGCACAAGAATGGGACGTTTTTTCTCGACGCTGACCATATGTCTAGAAATAACAATGGGTAAATCGATTACAAAATATAATTTTTTTAATGTGTGGCTACAAAAAAATATATTCAAATAAATTCAGATGTAAAGTTATAACCGTTGCCTTTTCCGTGCATTAATGGATGTATTAAGTTTCCAGGAATGTATGTTTTAAACATGATGGAAAGGTGATGCGTGTGGCGGTTCGAGTTGACATTAATTTATCACCGTGCATTACCCTTTCTAGTCCTTTCATAAAAGTTCCCGTTAACCTCAATTTTAAATAACTGTCTCATATGAGACAATCGCTGTAAATTTAGTAGATATAATTTTGCGATTTCTCTTCTGCAGACCGAACTTTATTTTGTCTTAGTTTATTATTTTTAAGCCTATTTCAGCATATTGAGTGTTTTCATAAAGTTTCGGTTAAACTGTGATCAAATATTGTGAGATTTCTCCTTGGGGTCCATGGGGAACCATGAGTCTGTATTTTGAACATCAGTTATCATCTTTGACTCCTTATGCTCGCTGATGCGTTTAGACGCGTTTGGGCATCTTCAAATTTTGGTGAGGCTTAAAAGCCGGTCGAAGGCAGATAAAAATTCGAAACTACAGAACAAAACTGGCAAGGGACAATGATGGGATACGACCAAAAAGTACTTTGTAGTTTGGACATTTTCTGATCAAGATGATCTGTTAACAAGGAAAGAAATTCTGTCGTTTGATCATTGTTGGTCAGCCTATCGCGTATTGCCTCAGCCTGCTTATAACCCTGACAAAATGATGAAGATTCGTGAGACCATCATCCTGGAAAGGACGAAACTACAGGATCACCACTGTCCAGACCTCAAAAAGTGTCGAAAATATGATCAATTTTCCTCATCAATTAGTCCAATAATTGTCATCGGCCAGGCCATCCGCCTTTTCATTCCCATGCTGTCCTTTGTGAGCGAGTATCAATACAAGGGTTACCTTGTTCTCAAACCTGGAAGAGATCCTATTGATAAGATCTACGGTTTCCTCCACCAGTCTTGAGGTTGACAAATCTTTTTGTAATGACCTAAGACTAGCCTGACTGTCAGAAAAAATTCTAATATCCTTCCCCTTAATTTCATTTTCCACAAGTGTTCTACAACACACATTAATTGCCCAGATTTCCGCCTGGAAAACGGAGGTGTTATTACCAAGAGGGGAGGAGATGCTGATTCCTAATTTAGGTATGTAGATTCCTGCACCACTCCCTCTACCTTTGATAAGTGAGCCATGAAAGAATATCATACAATTTGTTCGTTTTTGACAGGCTAGCTGTTTTGGTCTGTCAGGAGAGGTTGGGAGACCAAAAACGAACAAACAGAAACGACCTAACTACAGGTTTATCAGACCCCAAGATAAAATAACACCTTTAAAAGAAAACTCTGTAATATTAAGACCTATTTAAATTTAATTACCTGTTCAGGTACAGTATGCCAGATTTGTATGTATGTAAACGTATGCAGTTAGTTATCCCTTTCAAATTGTACAAGCAATAACACGATTAATCACCAAAAGAAATATACAGTCATTTGTTTAAGTTTTGCTGCAATTTCACTCAGCAAAAATATTTACGTTTATTAAAAAACTACAGGTCAACCAGTAAGGGAGGATGGGCAAGGATGATCGCAGACGAGATTAAGTTTAAATGTTAAATTAAATTTCAACTGTACCAATATTAAAACTTGTAAATCCCAATTGTTTTTAATGTCCCAATTGTCGAATGTAATGAGGCCTGGTTCAATTTTTTAACAGTACATTTACTTGCAACAAAATGACTATCTGCCAGTGCCATTTTTAAAAACTAGTAAGTGATTAATGTGTACATATTCTTCTAAATTTACTATCACGCATGCCCTATTTCTTCTACTTTTTACTTATATAAACAATGCGTTTTTAATGGTGGCGTGACCGTTCCACAATTATCTGAACCACTCCTTTACAATTTTCCACGCTATTCATGAGGGAAAAATTTCTATACGTGCGAGAAGTGAACCACTTATGGGAAGTACTGCAAGATTAAATGTTTCGCAATACCTTTGGATTTACAGAAGAATAAGTGTAAGCCATTAATGTGAGATTAACTGTTCAATCTGAATGTCGGATTAATTAAATACTAGTCTGCATCTGCGGTTTATTTACTAGATTATTCTATTTCTTTTGTTTTCCTAAAATTATAAAATCTTGGCTATTTAAATTTACCTATGTGTTTTAGCAGTGGAAATAATTGGATATCCACTAGTCAGTATTAGTGCTGTAAAACTAGTTAAAGTGTAAGACGTATCGACCACTTTTTAACTCAAAAATAATCTGGATACTGACTGATATGTCCAGGTTGAAGAAACAAATTCAATTGTTACCGCCAAGCTTTCGACCTATTTTAAGGTCATTATCAGAGCAAAATAATTAACTTTTTAATAGATGGTTTTAAATTTTTTCAAGACTCACTTAGACCCAACATAGCCAAGGGCTGTAACACTATTGCGCCTATTTAGGACATAGTGTTACAGTCCTTGGTGATAATGGGACTGAGTTGGTCTAAAGAAATTTGACTTAATCTATTAAAAATTAATTACGCCAAGGGGGACATATATTTAAAATTGTTTTAACTTTAAGATGGCCTTAAAATAGGCAGAAAGCTTGGCAATCACAACTGAATTTGTTTTTTCATTCTAGACCATAACAAGATCCTGATTATTTGTAAAACTACTTACATGGATCTTTTGACGTATAAAGGCCTTGATTATTTGACTTTTTACAATGAAGGCAACACATTCGAATGGAAGGGGTACAAATTAACTTTCTGAAAAATATAATATTTCAACAAAATCACTGAAAACACTGATCAATCATTTCAACTAGATAAGTTTCTACTTCTACAGCACACGGTCTTCTTGAGTTTTCGATCTCAGATGTCCACTGTTTACAGGAAAGAGGGACGCATGGCTTTTGGCACTCGCTTGGCTTTGGTGACCCCGAAATCTTTGTGACGTGCGCTTTCTGTGTTCAGTGCTGACAAAAGAACGGACATGACCCATCTGGGCTTGAATAGATCTGGGAGTGTGAGCAATACTGGGTAAAAAAAAGTCATAGGCCACCTTTTAACTGTGCAAATATTCGACAGGAGAGAAAACCTACGCTGGAAAATTAGTATAAGACTACCCTGGCAGAACTTTAAAATCTGAATGTGGAACTTTTTTATATAATTGTAATAATATAACCCAATTTTTATGTAGGCATACTCATAGTTTTTACTTTAACACAATTTAAACAATTCAATTTAAGCATCGATTGTATAAACAAAAACAGGCACTTGACCAATTTATGAAGTATCCAGATTAACTAACAGATAAAGCAGATACCCAAAGGAAAACAACAATAATATTTTTTGCATATATTAGAATTAGATTAAGAATTTCACTTTCATTTTTATTCAAAGCCCCGGAGCTTGACGACTCTCAATGCAATGGAACGACTACCACGATTTAATTCCGCGATTGTTTCATAATGAAGTATTCTGTTTTTTTTTCTGATTAAATCGATTAATAATATTTACCGTACCGATTATTTAAGAGTCAATTGACTGTTGGTCAATTTAATAAAAAAACAGGCTTGGCAGTTAGTTAACATTATAATGTTTGACGAAATCTGATAGATTAAAACCTAATTATGTCAAGTAAAAAATTAACTTGTTCTTTTATTAACGTATTATACTGAACGTGAATCTCTCTCTTTTCTTCTAATTGTAAGCGTCCATTAATTCCTAAGGAATGTAGATAAGAAAGTCACTTCCTTTAGTTGTTTTGGTTATGAATCAATTATGGTACTACTTAAAAAAAGCTTTATTCAATGGGAAAAAACCATACCTTTAATTAGTTCTACGACTTCGGTATGGGTGAGATTCGTAACGTTGATGCCGTTGACCTGAAACATAAAACAGGGTTTTTTTTTTAAACAAGCCCTACCAAAGTTTTTTTTTTTTTTTTTTTTTTTTTTTTTTTTTTTTTTTTTTTTTTTTTTTTTTTTTTTTTTTTTTTTTTTTTTACGCTAGTTGCAATAAGTAAATTTAATCAAACACACACACAATTTCTAGGCCATTGCCTCTTCTTCAGCCGACGTGGAGGATTTCCAGATAAGGTTAGTGTGGAAAGTTTTTGGACGAGATGGTTTGGGTGTACAGAACGAGTATAATGTTATTTCTGATAACGTGTTCGTGCAAGGTCTTGAACGAATGTAATATGGAGGATAGTGTGAATGTTTTTATTGCTGTTAATAAAAGGAGCATTAAGGATTTTTCTTAGGATTTTGGAACGGAGAGACTCGAAACAGGATGAATTGGAATGCTTGGTTGAGCCCAAACTTCCGCTCAGTAGGTCCTATAGGACGAATGAGTTTTGTGATTAGTCGGTTTACTGTTAAGGTTGAGGTGAGATCGTGGGTCGAGTAGTCTCAGTAAGAGTGAGGGTGGGTTCCACGTAAATATTTTATCAATGTACAGACCCAGGTATCGTACTATGTCAGCAGTCGGTATCAGTATGTCATCCAGTAATAGAGGACCAAAAAACTTTCTTAGTAGGAAAGTGACTTTGGCACATATGCTTTCGTTCACTCTGATTCTCCATTTGCGATACCAGTCTTTTACTGAGGGTAAGGTGAATTGAGACAGAAGCATACAACAGATGGGCTGAACAAGGGAGGATAGCCGTGTTTCGTCAAATTTGGAGATGACTGTGTTTAAAAAAGTAGGAATGTCAGCCTTCCTTGGGGGACTCCAGATTTTACCGAACTATAAAAGGAAAGGGATGTTCTCTGACAGACACGCAAAGTCGGAGGATAAGGTAAAAGATATATGGAAGAATCATATTGAGTTTCCACAGTTAAACTGGGTGCCCATACCCGGTCGAATGCCTGGGCTACCTCTAGGGTTGCACCCGAGCAATACTGCTTTCGCTCAAGACCTACAAAAGTGAGGTAAATAATAAGCAATATTCAAAAATATAAAAAAACTCACTTTTATAATGGTGTCCCCGCTTTGAAGTCCTGCTCTTTCCGCTGCACCGCCTGCAACAAAAACCGAAATTTTGTTTCGCCAATCCAAGGTCCAACGTACTTTTTGTAAGATGGTACTTTACCTGCTTTCACCGATTGGACGTAGACAGGATTGTCACCGGAGATTTTCATCCCGTACCCTGTCGCGTCATCCTTCGATATCGTGATGGTAGTGACGCTCGGTGGCAGGTGATGGGGCGAGAGGTGGTGCAGAGGCGGGCCTTCGCATGGCCTTGGAGATCGTCTAAACGACGGACCGTTTGAAAGTCCCCGTCTGAAAGAAAAATAACGAACAATGAAAAACTAGGAACATTCTGAGTATAAAACAAGAAATTAGAGTAGAGGCAGAATTTAAAGTCATAGTACAATCGAAAGCCACCTAACCTTATTTGTTTCGTGTTAAGTCGTCAAGACATGCAGGAATCTAGGGAAATGAATAAATGGATGAACTGGCAATAAAAGCGCCTCACCGCACACAGGACACCTTCTGTTTCAAAAGAATTCATTCATTCAACAGGATTAAGTGATGTGAAAAGCTAATCACTAGCTGGATATAAATACAATCTAAGGAACTCGTTACATTAAGAGAAACAGGAAGAAACTTATATTCACAACTGCTTTCTTGACATTGGGACATTGCAGACTCAGTGGACATCTGAGAAAGATACGAATCAACATGGCATCTACTGGCAGACTGTTTTGGATCTACACAACAAACTAGTACAAATACTACCGTTGCAACCACTTCCTCCGGAAAGACCGGCCTACTACAAGTACCAACCATAAGCTCTTAGAAAGCGCTCTTAAAATAGCACAGCCTTTTTAATCAAGCATCAATCAAATATTCTCGGTAAACAATTACCCGCTGTAGTATATGTACGTAATACACACTCATAAATAAATATGTATACAATTCAAAAGTATGAAACGGTTAAGGTTCATCAACAGGCTAAATTACACATCACACGTAAAATGGTTCTTGAGGATTGGCGGTTAAGTCTTCAACTCGTTTACGACAAAAGCTGCAGAATTTGGATTACAAATTCACTACATTTTGGAAAAATCGATACGTTCTATTGTTATGGATATATGTACTCAAATTGTGCCAAGAGTAACGAAATAAGCAAGCGATGAAGAAAAACAGACTGTGACAGATCGTGCAGCCAGCCCTCCCCCATGAAACTCTATTTTGCTAAGGAATTTTAATTTTGAAAATTGTTAAAACCTACTCGTCTATTTTTTACAAACAGCCAAAAGCTACAGGTAAAAGGTCTTTTTTCCAAAACCTTTAAAAATTTCCTACCGAATTAATCAAAAAACTGTATTATCCAAATACATCCGTTGATATGTTGAAGCAAACAAACAAAAATACTTTGAAATCTATTCAAGAGTTTTGTAGAAAAAGGTACCAACATGAATAAAAATGTTATAAAAGTAAATTTTACATGAGAGCAGTTTGGAGTTTCTTATGATGGAGCGGTCGCTCAATGTCTAGTTTCGTTGAGGAAAATTTTTTTAGCTAGGTGTACTAATTATCTATGGCAAGAAAGTGAATCGAATAGGAAGCTTGAAGAAAAAAATCAGACCCAGGGCAGAATCATTGCAATGTCTCCAGTGCCAGTGCTTCTACTTCAATAATTCCAATTTCTTCTTGTCCAGATTCTACTGGAGTACACAGCTCTGGTAAAAACTTAGGGAGCCTGATCTGTTTAGGCTGAAAAGAAGTTAAGTCCGATTTATGGCCTCAACCAAAGAAGCAAAGAAAAAAAAGGAGCACGGCCTGTCCAAGGTTAGAAGAAGGACTTTGAAGCTGATGAACCCGCATATGGTGTTGGTGGTAATTAGGTTTACACTGTTATTTCAGATACTTCCACTCTTCCAATTTAAAAAACAAATTGTTATTTTGGACACATTTTCCTATTTTTTTATTTTTGGGCAGACTGCTCCCCTTAACTCAATAAACATAATTTGGTAGTTTCCGATATTATTTTGGACTGTCTATCCTCGCTGTGTTTGTTTTGTTAAAAGCGCTTAGGCAAAAACCGCCATTAAAAACCTGGGAATAAATTTCATGCTTCGCCCTGCTTATATTCCTTTTTTCTAGTTCTAAATTTTATAATTTTTTCATTCAACATATGCACTATATATGTAGGATGTTCACCGCCACTACGTCAACGGAGGCCCTACATGGCGGGAACTCTGTCTCTCCCCTCTATCTGGACCCCAGCTGACAGTTTGAGTTGTTACCACCACGCGGTCCTACGAACACGTTTCTTTTTACGCTAATGTATTTTAATGTTAACTAGTTATCCTTTTACTTTTGTTTATGTGTTCTTTACCAATAAACTTTAAATCTTTATCTTTTTATTTGTGGGAGACCTTTAATTCCCTACATATATTACTGAATAAAGTGAGAAAAATATATTAATTAGATTTTGATAAAGCATAGAATATTCTGGTCCATCCGGTGGGTTTTTACCTGAAGGAAGTGTGTTTTCTCGCCTCACCGGTCTTATAACCTGACCAAAAAATGCCGAAATACGTCTGACACTAACTTCCTTCTAGTCAAGAGCTACAACGCTAGGGTCAGTCGGACGCATCTTCAGATTTTTTAATTTCATCAATTCAAAATATGGAAATATCAAAAATATATTGCTGAATAATTTAAACAAATTAAATCTGTTAATTATATTTGATAACACTGAATCCGAGATTTTTATCCATCCACCTGACATTTGCCTGAAAGGAAATTTATTTTCTAGCGTCGCCTTGCTTATAACCCTAAAAAAAATTCCGAAACGCGTCTGACACATCCAAACAAAAGACCAACTATGTAGATGTGTAACGCCGGAAAACAAACGAGGATAGAAGATCAGAACGACGGAACAACTTACCAAGTCATCACCCCGTCAGACCTCAAGAAGAAATTTCAATTATTGTTGCATTCTAGCCTAAAAATAACTTTACTATTCTAAGCAGGGTGCTTTTTCACCTCAATACCTGATAATGCCAGCCAATCTCAAACCTGAGAAATTCTTTCCTGTGGTCTGTGAGGTTAACCTGCCATCATCATGGTTCACCTCTGAGAAGAGGCTTTCATCTGTCATGTGTCTAATGTTTCACTATGTGTTATTTTGTCGAGTACCACGTATATAAGAAAAAAAAAGATTATAATAAACAAAGCTCAGACAAAATAAGCTAAGGTAGTCTGTACGTATGACACGACCTTACTTGAGATTTATCACCCCGCAGTCCTGTTGCACGACGAATAGTAAAAAATAAATACATGTCAATATAATTTGAAATATTTATAATCGAGCTGTCCCATTTTTTAAAAATATTAATACTCGTACCATGTAATCCATCAGCAGCATCATGTAATACGGTTATATATGGAACGTGTATGTAGAATGTGATTAAATCCTCTTGTTTCAAAGTATACAAGTGGGAGTGAAAAAGTATTGAGCCATTTCTCTGGCTTTGAAACCATCCTTTTGATTTTCAAATTACATAACATTCGGTTACACTTGCCGATTACGGCACCCGTTACATCGGTCGAGTTTGAGAAAATGTATCAGTTAAGTAAGAACTGTTTACAAGTCAAGAATCATTTTTTTTAGTTTCCACTTTTGTTGAAACGACCGGTGTGATGGGACTAGCTCTGGGTCGGTTCCTACTTTCCTATCCCTGGTCCACCCGTTCTCGCTGTTTTGTTCTGTAAGAGGCGTTAAAAGGCCGAAACGTGTCTGTCGGATGGAAACAGGAAGGATAGGCAGACCGAAATGATAGAAAACGAGTAAACTGCATAAACACGATTTATACGTATAGTAGTACGAACATTTTATACGCATTGACAGCCTCAGAAAAAAGTAATAAAAAAAGTAAAATTTTCAAGAACAACTAGTCTTAAATGTCCATTAAAATTTATTATTTACTGATGTTCAGGCGATATAATTTTCATGGAAAAATCGTAGGAATACGAATTACAACTAACTACAAAATTATTAATTGTTTACAACATACATTACGATAGCTTATGAAAGTTTCACTCGTGCCGCCTCCGTTTGTATCTCGAGGTTTAACAAAAAAATACGCACAATATTCTTATGCGATCCCAAATATTGCAATATTCACATAATCTACAAGTTAGGTAGGTGTAGCCCGAACAATATCTTTTTCTAACTTCGTCTGTTCTTAAAATAGGCGTCTTGCGTCGTTAAGTCTCCGAGGCTATGTACTTCTCCAATTGCCTTCTCGAAACAAATGTGGAATTCTATTAATAGGGGAATAGAAATATGTTTGGACAAACAAATGAAATTTTACAATGTTGCCATTACAGATAAACTCAAAATGTATGATTGGGTCGAGAAAATACCTACGACAAGCGGACTACTAACACCTAAATGAACAAAACCCTTTATACTCTAGTTAATTGGTATTATTTTGTGCTATATAACAGGTTACTTTTTCTGTTAATATGATATAAATAATAAATATTTTCTCAAACTTTTCTAAAGTGTTTAGCCAACAAGACTTCAGCAAATGTAGAGTGTTTAGCTAACAAGACTTCAGCAAATGAAACTATCTTGGTAGGTCAATACATATGCCGAACATTATACATATCTTATATTGTACGCACATACATATTTCCCAGAGATCACCCTAAATCCCAGAGCTTTAATCCCATTTTGAGGCTGGTAAATGTAGGAAAAGCTTAAAACATGAAAATCCCATTAGAACCTTTATAAGAACTCTGTAGATGTATATTTGACTGAGCAAAGAAAGAAACAACTACATGACACAAATACATTCCTAAGTTCGTCCAGAGCGTTTTGATTTTTTGGTCAGGGATATAAGTAGAGATGCAAGACCCAACTTCCTACCAACCAAAAGAAAAAACCAAATTACAGTAATATATTTCCGTTTGGGCATCTCTGGTCATACTCATTGTCATGCCTATAACCGCTGTTGTCTGTATTTTTATAAATTTGATATATTTTTCGCCATGTTCAACGAGCGGAAAAGGTAAAAACAAGGCGAGGCAATCATCGGCATCCAACGGAGGTATTTTGTACTGTAGGTAGAGCTGTAGAACCTTCTGTCTGTTCACTCTTGAACTGCCGTCTATTTAACTTTAACAGAATGGCGTGTACTAGGTCGAGGTGAACTGATAACAGTAAGGTTTTGGGATGCTATTTTTTCCGGAAAATATTACCCAGAAAGTTCACCAATTTTGCTGTTCCACAGCAGATGCGAATAACTTAAGGTATGGTA